CACGATTTATGATCGTGCCCTCTCCCTTCGCAGTTAAAACAGACTTCAAGGTCTGGTCGACGATATACGTCCACAAGGCAATCCAAAAGGGTTACCGATTTGTGTGCTTGTAGATTTATGAATTTTCTCGGGGAAAATAATGTTCAGGACCGACATTACCGAATGTTTAAGAATTGTTTACCATACCAGAATCAATAAAAGTGTGTGGTTTAAAAATACCTGGACTTTTTGCAGGCTCTGAAAAGCGTGTTTGCAAATCCGCTGGATTTATAAACTCTCCTAAGGTGTGTTGGTTTATATTATAAAAACCTGTTGATCTCCCACTAAACACGGATCATCCAGTTTTGTGTTTAGATCTGGGCAATTCACGTTTGGAGTCATGTTATGAACCATGTTCTTTAAATCAGAAACCGTTTTGCGAAGTGTTTCGACTTCCAAAAGCGTGTTCTTGAGTGCAGAGACCATCGAGTTGATTGTAGCAATCCCGCTGTGGAACTTTTGAAGTGATTCTTCAAAAGTTTGATTCCTCTTTGCTTCATTCTGTGCGGATTGTTGTTGCAAATCCTAAATTTCTCTAATTTTAAGTAAAATAGCGAAAATTTAATACCCTACGCCTCGGTTTCCCGAGTTTTCTACATTAGACCATCGTATGTATTGATCTTGTGGCCCAGTGTCCAAAACGAGCAAATCATCTTCATTTTCTCCATCTTCCTCAATTGTCAATCGATGAATGTTTTTGTGATTTTTGTCGAAGTTTTGCTTGTATAAACCAAAAAATTTTTGAAAGAATTGTAAAGTTATTTCCCTTATCTGACCCACGACGTGATGTTGTATCATTTGGAGTCGGGTACCCAAATATAGCAACCTACTCCGAAAAAGTTCCTTGTTCGGGCACCTTTGGTAAAGTTCTTCCTCAATGCAACTGAACTTCCCCTCTTCGCTATTCATCATTTCCCATAAACGAAAACATCGTTGGACACCAGTTGGATCCGATTCAAGAGGGATGGTAACACCACGAGAGTTCAACTCGTAATCCAATTCATCGCAACACAAATAATCAACGCGCAACTGCAAATATGCAGCGTTGAAATTATCAAGCGCCAACGATTCAACAGTTGATGAAATAAGCCTATGAATGGCCTAGAGCAAGGGTACTTGCCCGAGTACTTCCCCCAAAGTCGTTCGGATTTGGGTGAAACAACAAAACTACAAGAAGGAAAGAAAATTGAATTTATGATGATTGTCAGTACACAAAAAGGAGAGTTACAATCCACGAAAGAAGTACTACGCGTTTTTGCCCCGTCCGTTGATTTTCCGGAAAAATTAGGGAGATTGCGGTTTTCGTGCCGTGCGTCAGCTGGACGTATCATCCGCAGCATCGTCGGGTGTGTGATAGTGGAGCTCGCCCGAAAAGTGCCGGCCCGGGGATTGTGAACTGGGTATAGTGAGTGAAGGAGTCTTTCGCTTTCCCGGCTAACCACCAAGGATCCGTTAAACACCCGCCGTCCTGACTGCGGTGGCTCAGCCAATAGAGCCATAGAGAACCGCATTTAATCGTCAAGCAGGACGAAGCAGGCATTCCCAGAGGTGAGTCCGCCTGGGCAGAAACACAGCGGTGTCTGCCGGGATTTCCTACGATGAGTCTCACTCATCTCCCCGCTAAAAGTAAAGGACCGCTGCTAGGCATCCAAAAGTGACGCTCGGCACAGACCGTGTCTGGAGCCGACGTGAACAGAAACCCCTGCCGCTGCCATCGAAGAGCCCCACCGAGACACCGAGGACAGCGAGGAGGTCAGGGTAGGTTAGGTCAGGCTAGACAATACAAGTAGTTAAATTAAATTTTCTTTTCTTCTTGATGTTTTGTTGTTTCACCCAAATCCGAACGACTTTGCGGAAAGTACCCTTGATCTAGGCCGCCGGGGTAAAATCGGGCCAGCTATAGGCTGGCAGGTAAGCCGTAACTTACAAAATGTAGAAACTATTGGACAGTCATTTATGTTTTCACTATAGGAAAACATCTATCCCAATCATTATATAGTCATATAGATTTTTCATTTAAGAAACCCAACAGAAAACATTTGTTTTGGCATGGGTTTTGGGAAGATCACTCCCAATAAAATACATCTTATATGATTGTTCTACATAAATTATTGAAATAATTTTCAACGATGTTATCGTACACTCATTGAACATGATTGTTAGTCGAATTAAATATTAGAAACAACAATGAAACTGTATTGAATAATCTTTATTTGTTATTGTCCCATAAGATAAAGGGTAGTCGTTGTTTTATTGCACACAGGAGCATTAAAGAAGATTTGTACAAACGACACCACAGAAATGGTACACAAATTTGCCAGTGCTATTTTTCTTCACTCTAGCAAAACGAGCATAACGTTGCACTACATTCCATGTCGGGAGAGCTGTGCTTACTTCATGCTAATTGAACTAGCTCTATCTCGAAGTCAGCTGTGGCCCAGTGAAACCGAGCGAAGAAATCGACAGCATCACACCTCAACAGTGCTGGATCGAATCGCAAATCAGCTATATTAAAAAAACGCAACTGTTAAAGCACGTGAAGCACCACCTCCACCTGCCTAATGTTTTTTTTTTCGATTTATTTTTAGAAATTCTCTACAACTTGTCCTTAGACACCACTTCGGTAAAATCAATGGATTTTTTAAGACGGTTTTTTTTTAGAAGGGTGACTCTAAATGCGATACAGGAAAGATTTTGTTTTGCTGCTGTTAGCTGCGTGCACGCTGAGTAGATAAAAAGAAGATTGATGATGATTCTGAAGATTTCCTGCAAAAAGATGATGCACGATGCAAGTAGATGCGAAAAATTATAGATAATTTTTCGAAGATTCATTCGCTAGTGTGAGATTTTTCGAGCATCTAGAATTGAGAGAGCATTAAGGTTTATCTCTATAAAGCCTAGGAAATAAGCGATGCAATTGTATTTATTAGCACAAATGTCTCATAAACATGTGAGAAAGTAGCTCTACCCTGTAAGTATCGGTGTTTTACGTCTGCCACGAGCTACAAAAACTACCACTTGAAAAAAATAGCGCAGCTATCGATGGGTACTTAAATTCTACTATTGAAGTGAATGGAAAAACTCGTGATAAAGCAATCAATTAACATTTCTAATCTTTTAGTTTCCAAGCGTTTGAGCATGATGATAAAAATATGACTCACACTTGTAATTCATTCTCATAAATCTGCTAAATTTTTTAGTACGGAATAGAATTGAAAATGTACAGTAAGGTCTTGAATCTAATTTCCGTCCAACTAAGCATAACACACTTAACCTCTCTTTTTGGAACGGATATGAACTCAAAAATGGATTAATTTTACTATAGATGAATTTCTTACCTATTTGCGTTTCTAGACGTACCGTTGGATTTGATAAAGAGTCACAAATTATTGATATATTGTAAGAAATCCAACACTGCTTCTTGATTGCAAAGTTTCAATTCCGTCCTAACGCATTGAAATGCTATTGTTTTTTTGTAGGTTTTATCTTCGTTCTACGAATGAAGACAGAAAAAGGATTTGCCAAGAGCGCTTCTTTTGTTTTGGAACAATGAGTTTAAATATTCAAAAACGCAATTGTATAGGCTTTATGTTGTAGCTTATAAGCTAACGCATAGAAACAAACGTATTATTGATTTGTGTACGGTGAAATCATAGATATTATTGATGATTTCTGCTCAATAGAACGGAAATCGGCGATTACGATGAAGTAGCGCTCTACCCTATATGGATTTCACATTTTACGAAAATAAATTATTAGCTCAAGAAAGTGAAACTAAAGTACTTATGTACAAAAATGACTCTGAGGGGATCGACAAGCTCACATCATTATCTAATAGCGAATTCGTTTATTATCGGGGTTGCGACCAGTTCCAACCCAGTGCGAAACCGAACTTTTTGTCAGTGCAAACCTCAACCTGAGCTGGGTTTTAAAAACAAACGAGCAAACTGACGTTTGTCAGAAAACAAGCAGACCCAATCTTTTGTTTGGAACTGAATAATAAACGAATTCGCTATAAGAATATCCACTAATCTGCATCCACATCCACGTCAACGAAAACAATCAGGTGTTTCTTATCAGCTTTCTTACTGCTTCTGACAGCACTCACCACCAGAGGGCGAGCTGCCGTTATCCTATGGGCGGTGGAAAATCTGCTTCAGAATGTTGGCGATATTCACTTTTAATTAAAAATATCAATTTGTTCTACTAAAACAAAGAAAAAAATGTAGAAATTTTCCCATGAAAATACGCAATATATGAAGAGAAATTGCCAATTTTCCAATAATTTCCATGCATCAAAACTGGTTTAGCCACCACAGGCTATTGTTTTTTTTTCTTTTGCAAGCACCTATTCCTATGCATAACAATATATTTTTATGCAAGATATCTTTAATCCTCTGTTTATCCTTTCATCCCACATGCATAATTCTCGCAACAGAGCCATATGGATAGCTGTATATCTTTTATTTAATTAAAATATACTGATAACTGATGTTTCACCGTGCATTTTTCTAACCAAACGACAAAAAATCAAATACTCCGCTAGTTTTTTATTTACTTCAGCGAAAATCGATGGCTACAATTTTCAGCTGCAATGTAATTCCTCCTTTCCTTCAATCTGCATGACAACGTAAGGAAAGGCAAATACTTACTACAAATCCTTTTATTTTTTCGGATTTAAACGAAAATACCTGCCAAGAAAAGATTAAACTACTGGTGGATGAGTATCACCGATTGACTCACAAGTTGAGGAATTTTAATTCCCAAGTTAATGAAATCACCATGTGGACTTGTGTAATTTTGTTATGACTCAGTTTCTGCTGATATTAATTGGATTTAAGCATACGTGGTTTTGTATTTTTGTCGGAAATTATGATATCTAATCTAAAACAAGGATTATCGCATTTAACCTAAGCTAGTTAAAATAAAATTTAATGTTATATAATATATATCGATCTTTATTCACAAAATATCACATTTAAAACTCCGCTTCAACATAAATAATTTTATTCGAATTGTACATCGAATCAAAAGATTAGTTTACTTTTTCAATACTCCACAGGAATTTCTTCGACATTGTCCGCCAAAGCGTCACACGCTTGGTCCGCTATTTTTGTCAGATTTTGAGCTCTTCCCAAATCAGAATCAGCTTCGCATCGCAATAGACAGTCGTTGTTGTAGGTCTTCAAATCGCTTCCGCAAACGGGCATATAAATCCTCGGACAGGCGCAAACTCCTCTCTTGGCATCGCTACGTGTCTCTACAACTGCCAGAAGACTCATAGACAGTACCAAAATACCCACAATGACTCCGGTATGTTTCATTTTCGGTTTCGTTATAATCGTTCAACACCTTTATCAACAACTGAATCATTCCCTCTGATCGGCAATATTTTTATAGAAAATTCAACAAGCTAGACGCTATCTGGAAATAGCCTCTTATCGAGTAAATGATAACACTTACCAATGCAAACGCTCTATACAATACGAAAATTTCAAGTGCTGAATCAAACCTGCACGAACGTCCGGATAGATTTGCTAGAAATCGATCGAATTTGAATGCACTTACTATACACACAACGAAACTAGTCAACAGCGCAAAGTGGAAAACAGCGTTAGCTTCGGGAACAGGAAACAAGTGAACAAATAATAAACAACTTGCAGTTAGATGACATTTTTATTTCATTCATAATTCATTTTAGCAGGATCCTTCACGGAGTTTTTTCAGCGCTATTCTGGAACCGGTGGGCGTAACCATGGCACATCTGAGGACACAATCGTTGGAGTAGGTAACGTTGTCACTACCACAGACCGGTTGGTAGCTAAAAGGACAAGCACAGGACGCCATCTCCGAGTAGATGTCGGCTTGAGTTTCGACCGACAGCAATCCCACAAGGACCACGGTCATGATCACAGCAAGCACAGAAATTGAACGCATTTTTGTTTTTGTTTTATCACAGGTGTCTTCGATGTTGAACTGTAGATTTCCAACTACTGCAACTCTGCGGACTGATGAGTGCTTATGTGGCTGGTTTGGTTCGATATCTTACTTTTAATCGATTAGATAAGATACCCGAGATAGGGAGGTTTTCCTTGTTCCTCGTGACCTCGCCAGTATCCGGTAAACAGAGCGAAAAGATCATTTGTAACATTACAAATCACAAAATCTCTTTGTGGGGTAAACACAACTATTCAAAGGAGTAAATATGTTGACTTTATCGCTGAAAAAGAAAGACGTAATAAAGATATTTTTCATTGTAAACATCTTGAACCATTTCTTAGTGGAACTATAAATAGACAGATAAATAACATGTTTTAATAATTACCGAAAAGAACAATGTAATCATTAAAGTATTTTAACATGTTCCTAGTCTGGGCAGTATTTGAAAAAAACATGTACCGTAAAACAGGGTAACATTAATAATTTTTAAAAGTATATTCTAAATATTTTTTGCAGCAATGAATATTTTTCAAATTTTATATTTTTAATACAAGTACTGAGGATCCAAGAGCTAATTCGTTAGTAATTTGTTTAACGTAAATTGAAGCATTTACACTATTTTTTAGTTTTATGACCGAATATCAGTATTTTGATTTGGGGTTAATTTGATATTGCTCGATGAATGTAGAAAAAAAATGCGTGAAATTCAAACATTTTAGTTCTTTAAATATGAAACTTTGAATGAGAATATAATCAGAAAACAACATAGGCAATAAGAATACAACATTGAATTTGTGATGGCTATATCGGAAATACATTTCATAAGTGATGGTTTGAGTGCTTTTTCAAACAGGCGAAAAATACGAAAATGGGTGTTTATATGTTTATAAAATATTTAACACATACTATATAAAAACTATATACGGTATCAACGAACTTACTTTAAGCTACAATATGGAACCAATATTTCTAATTTAGAAAAAGCGGAGCTAGTAAATTTAATCTTTATATTATACTATCAAAGTTACCCGCATTATCAAAGATACCCCGTTTTACGGTACCTAATATTACACTTCGCTAAGTGAAAGACTTTTAGCTGAAATGATTTTTTTTTTTTTTTTTTTTTTTTTTTTTCTTTATTAGAGTGACTTTTAGCCACTGGCTGGTTCGTCACTTATGTTTTTTTTAAGTGAAACAAGTTTGAGGTAAAAGACACTCTCGTAACATTTAAAAAGGCCTATCAACTGTTGTCAATCAAACTTGTTAGGCCCTTTTAGAGCAAACCGAAGTACGCCCACGCAAATCAAAACATTGCATGTTTTATATAGCTTTTAAAGCCTTACAAGTTTAAATCATGGCCTACAGAACCCTCATAAAATCAAAATTGTTACTTGGGTTGGTCAAGGTGATGATTGGTCGAGTGCTGAACTGCCCATAATCGCATATCAGTCCCATATGGATAGGAAATCAAGCAAAGATGGGACTGATATGCGATTATGGGTAGTGTACGTTGCCCGAGTTTCAGGGACACACTTGATTTCCTACGAATCTTGAAGAGGGTTACGGCAAGGTCATGGTCTTTCGTGTCTGCTATTTAACATTGGTTTGAAAGGTGTCATAAGAAGAGCGAAGCTAGACATAGTGGTTTGAACTTAAGGAAGTCTGTTCAGCTTTTTGGCTTTGCCGATGACATTGACGTCATGGCACGTAACTAAATGGATTGGACTTGTCATCGAAGACGAAATACATGAGAGGAAAAGGCTAAAGAGAATGTAGCTTCCCATCAGAAGTTCAGATTGATGGCAATGAAACATAGGTAGTCGACGAACTACTTTTTTGATTTTTCACGAATGTCTTCGAATTTGAACCCAGGGTTAATAAACCAATAAACCATATGCAATTAGATCACGTTTTTATTCCATTCATAATTCATTCTCGCAGGATCCTTCACGGAGTTTTTTCAGCGCTATTCTGGAACCGGTGGGCGTAGCCATGGCACATCTGATGACACAATCGTTGGAGTAGGTAACGTTATCACTGCCACAGACCGGTTGGTAGCTCAAAGGACAAGCACAGGACGTCATCTCCGAGTAGATGTCGGCTTGAGTTTCGACCGAGAGCAATCCCACTAGGACCACGGTCATGATCACACACACTTAGATTTTTCTACCGAGATCGGCTGTGCAAATCTCGGCAAAAAACGTTTCACTGAGATATCAGCAAACATTTCATTTGTTTGCTGAGATTCTGCTAAGCATTATCCGAGACTCAGCAATCAAATGTCACTTTTGCTGAGATTTCAGTAAAACTTATTTTGCCGAGATTTGCACAGCCGAGCTCGGTAGAAAAAAATAAGTGTGCAGCAAGCATAGACATTGAACGCATTTTTTTTGTTTTCTCAAGGGTGTCTTCGATGATGAACTGTAGGTTTTCAACTACTGCGACTCTGCGGATTCATGGGTGCTTATGTGGCTTATTTGGTTCGATATCTTGCTTATAATCGATTAGATAAGATGCCCGAGGTAGGTAAGTTTCCTTGGTTGTGTGCGAGTTCATCAGTAGCTGGTTAACAGAGAGAGAGAAGAGCATTTGTATATTAGAAATCATTATCAATCCATGACCTTCTCTCGGACCCTCTGTTAAGTAAGCAGAAGCGGAAGCCACCAGTCTATCAAGCCTCGTCTGTCGGACACTTGACGTTACTTGAGTTAACTTTATAAACAAAAAATCGAAGCCTATAATACCGTGTAGTGTCCGTCCATCGCACATTTTTCGAGTGAATTCTTGCATCGTTAGTAAAATTAGTTTTCATCAATATATTTAGTATTATCTCGAGCAAATACTGATTTGATTTGAGAGATGTGCTCATGAACCTTTCTTCAGCTCAGCTGGCTGGCATTGCTAGTTCGCGGATCGTCTCTCCACTTACGTTACAGCTCCACCAGTATTTGAGCGACTGCCCTGCTGACGGCATCCCAGGAACCCTTCCTCTCGACATATTTTCTCGATGACATTCTCTGTGCTAAAGTGGACCTTACACGGTTGCTTTTATTGACAATAATTGTATTGTCAATACATTCTATATTGACGTCAATACATCGATATTGACAATATTTCTGTATTCACATCTGCTCTTGCGCTTTTAGAGCTGTTTTTTTTTTTATTTAATTACTGCTGTACGATCAATTTTGAGATACACTGTACATATCACAACGATCACAACTTTCCACAAAGATCAAACAATTTAGCAGTCTTCAACAAAATTGTTTTGTATAGTGTTCTCAATCTATACACTAAGTTTTTTCGACAAATCTCGGAAAAACAATTGCCGAGATAGGCAACCATCTTAGCAAACAGAAAGTTTGCCGGGGATCTCGGAAATCATATAATTAACGGTTGTCATATGTTGTCGACAATCTCAGTAAAAAAATAGATGATTGCTCGGCAAAAGAACCCCTACGGTAAAAATAATGAATCTCGAATTTTTTTTTTAATTGCTTGGGTAAGAAAAAGAAGAAGAAGAAGAAAATATTGTCTGGTGAAAAATATTTGCACAATAAGAAACACTGCAATGAGATTATCATTCTGAATATCTATTAAAAATCATAAAAATACATCACAGGAATATGAACAGGATTTGCATTTGGGGATCAAGCAGTCATAAAATACGATGTTCAAATTAAAATGCTTATACCGTATAGACTATTCCGTTTATTATAAATACACTTTGTTAGTAAATTAAATAAAACTAGGGTAAAGTTTTAGGCCATTTTATTTTCAAATTTTGTTTATTATCATGTTTTCTTTCACTCATTAATTCAATTTGCAGGATTTTATTGAGAGTTGCCGAGTTTTCTAACTTTTCCATTGACACTGCTCATTAGCGTTTGCACAGTACCTTCGCCTACAATTTTTACCACTTTAGACTAATATTTCTTGAATTTTTAAACTCTATCCGCTGGTTTAACATGTTTCCTAAGCTTTACCTTTGTCAAAGCCCGGAAATTTTTCTTTGGAGTGAGCTTAAGGGCAATTTGGCGGATTCATCTCTTTTGGCACATATGTGACTTTATGATTCGGTACCATTCTAGCGAATCCTTTGAATAGTGGCAGGAAGCAAGATCAGGCCAAAAGATTACAGGTTTGTCATGCTACCTGATGAAGGGTAGTAATCTGTTTTGCAGACATTCCTTCACGTAGACTTTGCCATTCATTGTGTCTGTCGTTATAAATGGTCGAGAAATATTTCCACGCTGGCATATCGCCTGCCAAACCATGACCTGCTTGCCGAATTTTTCGGTGTAAGTGGCTTTGACCGATTCAGGAACATCCTTTCCTTTGGGCGAAGTGTAGAACTGCTGTCCTGGCAGTTTTTCCCCATCATTGAGTCATACAGCTTCCGAGCTTTCGTCTTCACAAATGCTTTTTGCTTCGTTTTGGTTGCTTCTGCTTCCGTTGTGTTTCCAATCCCAATCTTTTCTTGGCCCGCATGACATTTGTTGCCGAATTACCGATCTTCTTCGTCACATCTCGCACTGATGCTGATGGATTCTGCTTAAAACGATCTCTTATCTTCCGGTCGGTTGCAGGGTCAACGGGGTCACGTTTTCTTCCACGCCTCAGAGAATCTTCAAAAGTGCACGATTCTTCATACTTCCGTAATGTGGTTTGTACTGCTCCAATGCTCACACCCTGCTCCTTAGCCAGTTTTCTTAACGAAAGTCCACTCACGGTACACCATTTGTGCACAATCCGTTATCTTTGTTCAGGAGTAAGGCCGACGGTTTTTCGTTAGTGTATTTATAATTATCGAAACCGTCTTTATGTCGCTGAAACTCTTCGACTCTAGCTCAGTAAATTCTCCAACAGCCAGTTACCTCGGCATTTACTTTTGCTGCTATCTCTGCAACATATATGTTTGATAGCTAAGATCTCAGCCAAATTCTAATTTGTTAGCTAAATCTCGGCAATTGTTTTACTGAATCTCAGCAAAATAAATTGCAGAACTACTCGGCTGGCTGTTGGAATTTCGGAATAAAAAAATTAAGTGTCTAAGTTCGAGATTTGGTGAAATTTTAACAATATGTATTTGTAATTTTGGTAAGCAAATGGATTTGATCGTTCCGTTTCCCATACACAAATTAAAATTCTCACGCAAATCTAGATTATAACCAAATTCATTAAAATTTTGCACAGTTGTTGGGAACCTCAATATGCATTGAAAGAGCAGTGTGGAACAGGGGGTTGTGTCCCATTCCTGGGCCACTTGGCCATCGACTCTCTGTTACCATTTCCCGTATTCCTCTGGTTATGGCACTCGCTATCATCCGCCAGGTGATGCCGATAAGGATCGTTTCGGCGATAACGACAGCATTAATCAGGTCTAATTTGGTGTGAAATCTGAAATAAGCCGTCTTTAATTTAGCGAAGCTAACTGATTCCCTAAAGAGCCACGCAACGATCCGTTGCAGCAAAGTGACAGCTAAATTGTTTTCTAACTGTCAGATTTGCCGCAACCGATCTAATCCGGATGCATTGTGCGTGGCTCTTAAAAGTTTAAAAATTTAACTGAAATCTAGATTTGCTTATTAGCAAATATGTGTCCACCACTGGATCATTGTAGGAGAAATATGCGTCCTCGGCAGATAAGCAATCAGGTAGTTTAATAAAATATAAAATTTCAACTCACGTACGAATAATGGATCCGCATTTTTTTCCGTCCAACTACAAGAGAATACAATAGAGAACAAGTACAGTAGTCCTTCCATTTATGCGGTGGGTGGTACCGTCCACACACCACTCTTTAGCCAACTGAGCTGATTTTCTGAGCTAGTTTATGGTTGACACTAATCACATACAAGAAATAAGCGTAATTGGTTGAAAGACAGCCGAGAATCCGTGGTGAGTGGTACCGTCGTGGTCATAACTAGAGGGATTACTGAATATGAAAAAAAAATTCCTAGAGCAAAAATTGTATTTATCATTGTCAACAATCCTACCCTTGCAAATATCGTCATGACTCTGTCATGGACCATGATGGTATCATATCATACCTAGTTAACATAACCACCCAATCTTCTGTCAAGTGGGTGGAGAAAGCTCTTTGTTTTAGGATGAATAGCTACGCCTGAACTGGCTAACGACCTCTCACAAGGTCGTATCTTAGCGTGATATGCATCTATACACGTGACACCGAATGACCTTGAGTGAGCTTCTGGAGTGTGCAGTCTTCCGCAGCATCTGTTGACATTTTCATCTCTATTATTATTATTATTATTATTTTCACTGTATACCTATACACGAAACAAGTAAAGTTGCCTGCTCATGATGGAGTCCATGTATGTTTTTGGAGCCTTTACAAGATCGAGAATATGTAATAATAACAAAGCAGCAAAAGAACAGTCGGCAGGTGCAGAAGAATGGTTTCAAAATGACGTCGAACTGCCAGCTACAGAAAAAAGAGTATGAGCGAATCAAAAAATATGAGCGAGAGAAATAATTATTCTCTTTCCCTGTATAAAAAAAATGATGAAAACAAGAGAGAATGGAGGATATTTGCTGCTGCTGAGAAAGAGAATCAACTTCAACCCAAACTGTGAAAGAGCGAATGTCAATGAGCAAAGGACGCAACATGAACATAACCTTTTATAGAATAATGCACCTTCAAGTCATGTTTCAATTGAAGTTGCAGTTGCTTGCATTCAGCATATGCGCACGAGAAATCTGAACGATGACTAAAAATGCACTTGGTTTGAATGGCTACTTCAAAGAAAATAGAGTTTATATTAAATTTGAAAAATATTTAGATATCGAGACAATTTATTGAATTGGAAGTTTCTCAAATAAAGCTAATCTTAAACAGTAATGACTCGATTTTAAAAATTTTAACATAAGCGTCCTGATGAATGTGGGCGTCTTAGTGGAATACCTGTATAATGAGAGAAAGAGAGAGAAATAAGTATTAGTATTTTCCATTTATTCGTTACTCGTTTTGTTTTGCGTTATTCTAAATCTTTCTTATTTATCTTCAAGATATAATGAAAAAGCGCATGGACTTCGTAGAGAATTAAAAAAGATTTTCAAAAAGGGGGTTGAATCGGGTCATTACAGTATAACGCAAAGAATAAAAAATTCACGAAGATATTGCATAACATTAGCATTACGGAAACATTTAAAATTACGTCACATAATGGCAAACTCCAATAAAATTATACTGATACAGTTCGATCTCGATTTTGACATGCTTCCATTTTCACGTGCTAAAAGCAACAGTTCTCGTTTTTGACAACATAAAAACATGAATTTCTGAAAGTATTTCAAAATTACTTTTTTTAATAGCTATTCCTAATAAAATTTGTATGGTTATTTTGCTTAACGACGTGTTCAGCGTATCATCCAAACCAGTTGTGGAATGGTTCAATCACTTGGGCTATCGTTCGAGTATAGTATTATTATTGGGATGCTACTTTGATTAAATGGCTCATTTGGGGAGTACATGTCATAAATCATAATATCAAATACGTAATTTTTCCTCTCAATTTGGATCTTTAATTTTGAAAGATTTATCGATTTTTATACATCATCTGAAAGAGCTTCGTTTTCTGAGCACAACGATATTTTTTTGAAACCATAGATTTTCATCTCGATTCATAAATCAAGATTTAAAGCAAAATATTAACTTCACTGTTGACAGCTCGTTACCATACGAAGTCCTATCGAGGGGAGCAAAGATAGTGATTTTTGCTAATGTAACCGCACTTATTTAAAATAGTTTCAGTGTACCAAAATTTATGAAATTTTGGATTTCCGATCCATTTTTAATGCAAATTACGAATATGCAATTACCTTAATACCCAATGACAGATGAAGCTCTGTTGTGTTGTCAAAATCTCACTGAAATCTGAAATAAAAAAAATATTCTAATGTTTTTAATATCGCAATCAAAAAAAAAAAAATTTACCACGATCTTCAGTTAGAAATTAAGTCACGATTAAGTAGTAAGCTGGCTAAAATAAAAATAAATTTTACCATTTTGTCCATTGAAGAAGACCTTTACTGTGGTTCTCTCTCCATCCACTTCAAAGGCAACGCATGATATTTATAACTACTCTCTTCTCTGCTCAACAGTGCAGGAAACCTTCAAGTTCGGAGAGCACGCATGCATATCCGTCGAGTCGCGGAGAAGCCGTTAAAGAGACGGTGTCGTTTGAATTTTCAGTTTTACTTCTACTTTCAACAGAGACGGTAGCTCGGAACTGGTTCTCTTGTTTTTTTGCACCTTTATCATCTTAAAAACAGTGCTCATACTACCGCTCTTTACTAATTCTCACAAAAGCTCACGGGTCAGGCAATCAATAGTAGGCTAGAAAAAAAACACAGCCTCCCTTGTTCAAACGGTACAAGCTCAATAGTAATACGGCGTAGTAGTATTTAAATTTGCATACACGAGCGTGCAATCTCCCGGTGCTTACAAACAGGGGAAACAAGATAAAAAGTGCAACAATAATAAGTCAGCAAGGTTCATCCTCATCATCGTATGTGTCGAATGCAATTTAATTAAACTGCATTCATCTCCCCATAAGAGCGAAGAAGAACCGATTTGAATAAAATAATTGGGAAAATCCGAACAATAAGTGAGTGAAACCGTGATTGTGTTTACTGTGGGTATCGCAGTAGGCGTGTTTATCGTGTACTATCGGTTTCCATTCGGCTAGTGAAAAGGAGCCATAGAGTGGTTATTGATCTTCTAACAAAAGCGTAAAACAGAGCCCAGGGTAGCAACATTAAAAAATGTCAGCTGACGCAGAGCTCTTCTCGGTCCTGAACCGTCGTCAGCAAATCAACACCGCTCTGGAAAATGGAGAAGAGGTGAAACACACTTATCGTGTCGTCAACGTCTACACCGAGTTCCACGAGTTCTCGCGGAAGGAAATTAAGGACTATCAGGCGACGTTCTCCAAGTGAGTGCCTATAATTTTCCGTTTCATCTTTTCAGTTGCTTCACTTCCTGTCTCACCTCAACAGCCGTAGCCATACTTTTGTGAGAAATGACAGGATACGAGACACAGCTGGTCATGGTAGCTAGAAATGCTTTGGTTGTATCTTCTAGTGGACTGCTAAGGAAAGGCCAAATAATAGAGTATTGTGTTAATTTTTGGCCCTACCCAAGTAACGATGAAGCCCGCTAATTCACCAAATGAAATACAGCCTAAGTTGACAGCAGACAAAACTTTCGTACAAGAAGCCACGAAAAATGTAAAATTAATTAATATGGGGACCTTGCGTAATGGTTAGCGCTCAAGGCCACGAGTTCAAATCTCATCCCGGAGAAAATGACCAAAAATGTGTTGAGGTGACTGTAATAAAAACAAAACAATCATCATCATCATCATCATCATCAATCGTAAACGTTGAATTTTTTTTTCCATTTACACAATTGAATCTTGCTGAACTTCAAAGAAAAAATATAAAAACTGACAATGCGAATGTTCGGTCGCACCATCGCACCATGTCTTTATTTTTAAATAACTGAAACTTAAGGTAATTTCCTGTGTCTCTATAAACATAATTTTACTAATTAAATTCCGTGAAATGTTGAGATTATGTTCATCCCTGATGGTAAATTTATTGTGCATCGAACCAGTTGCATCTATTTCAGTAAGGGATACCTTATATTTCAGATTCCCTCACATCTCAAGACTGTTGAATTAAATTTTTATAATACTTTGGATTGCAAAAAAATGATTCCCTAATAGATCATAACAAATATTTAGAATCAATATATTTCATCGGTTTTAGTTATTGTACACACTTAATTTTTTTGCCGAATCTCGGCAATTTTTAACGAGATTTGCACACCCGAGTGGTCAGTAATCTGATTTATTGAGATCTCAGCAAAAGTGACGTTTGGTTGCTGAGTCTCGGAAAATGTTTTGCTGAATCTCAGCAAACAAACGACATGTTTGCTGAGATCTCAGTAAAACTGATTGTCGAACGCTCGGCTGTGCAAATCTGGCTGGCTGGCGAAAAAAAAACTAAGTTTGTAACATGGCAGCTGGTTCTATTGTTTTGACACGCAGTTTATACCCTATCAATCCACAAATCTGCTAATTGCCATTTATGCATTAATATTACATTCAGACTATACTAAACTAGACTAATAAATTTTACATACAGCATATGATATACAGATTTTGTCAGCCCCCTTTTTGAAAATCTTGTTCTACGAAATCCATGCACCTTTTCAGTGGAATTGTTGCACCAAAGTATACCCTAAGCGTCCATCTTGAAGCTGATGGAGGACGATTCGGAATTCCGGTTATGTGAAATTATTGAAAGATAAAAGTCTGATCAAAATCGGGTAATTACTGTATTACGTAATATCAGTCTGATCGTATAAGGTTGGATGCTTATATTAAGTTTGGAAATTCTATACGGCCGCTATTCGTACAACCCATGTAAAAAGGAATTCCACAGGACATGAGACTGTTGTGCGAATGAAGGCAGTTTATTAACCTTACATTGCGAAAAGGGCGATTAGCGGGCTTGTTGGTAACATGAGTAAATCAAATTTTTAAAGAGGAAGTGAAAAGTTAAAAGGATAAAAGGATTAACATTCTAATCTACACATTTATAAAGTGTACTGATTTGCAATTACTTATGCAGATAATACACATAAATATGAGCATCAAAATCCAACGTATTCAAATTTGAAAGCAACACTGACCCTAGTGGTTTTGGTTTAATTTGAACATCTCCTATTGTAATTGCACACTTAGAAAATATCATGCAAATGTAGGTATCCTGAGACTTGCATATATACACTCAATCTAGCTCGGTAAACTCTCCAAGAGCCTATTATCTCGGCATTTAGGTTAGCTGATATCTCTGCAAAATGGCTTTTTGTTAGCTGAGATCTCAAGAAAAAATCTAATGTATTAGCTGAGTGTTGGCAATCGTTTTACTGAATCTCAGCAAAATAAATTGCAGAATTACTTGGCTGTTCGAATCTTGTCAAAACAAATTAAGTGTGTACGAGCGTCAATTTTGACATAAAATTAAGCCATAACAGATGCGAAATTCAGCTCATTGAAACGAACATTTTTCGAATAACGAACTTTTCAGTCTCGCAGCACTTAATTCTCGCGCAACACGAGAAAAGGGCCTATCATTGTTGATTGATTCTCTTCATCGATTTTCTCTTTTGCGAATAACCCGACTGCAAATGAATTTTCCATTGAGTGTGTTGTTTCAGGCGCATGCTAACATCATCTTCTGTCGAACTGTCCTGCGAGCTTAGCGAGAAATTCGGTTATGTTGCCGTCGTAAACCAAAGAGAAAATCGATGAAGAGAATCGATCAACGAGGATAGGCAATTTTCAAATGTTACGCGAGAATTGTATATGACAAGTTTGTTTACGTCTCTTCCTTTATGTCAAAAAGAGAATCCGTCACGTGCATGGTGGGTATATAAATGGTGATACAGTTTTGTCACTAAATAGGCGAGGAGGTCGCGGGGGGGAAAAGTGCGGTTTTAAAGCAAATTGTAAACAAACTCGGTCGCTGTCCCATACAAAAATTCAACATGGCTGAATAATGAATTTGACACATTAGAACACCTATATGTAGTCACCTTGGTCACGTGTAATATTAATTATTTCTAAGTGTGTGGTCATTGCAAAGTGGTTAAGTATTTATTAAATTATCAATTAGGCATTCAATTGGTGACATACTTAACTAACACACATAAATTATTTATTTAGAATTAATAGCAATCTAATTTTAGAAGAACAAACAAACCATTAATCTCTGTACACCGTATTATGAAAAGTATTATGAAAATATAAGTGATTAGTTACCATTTCCACTAAAATTTTTTCACAAAAACGTAACTGGGACCGACTTACGGTGAGCGGCAGTTCATCTCTATGCCATTCATGTTTTTCATTACCCATCTTGATGAATCCAAGTAGGGTAGGTGTATCAGTTATCGTTATATATTCCTGTTATGGTATGTTTCAATTATGACCTATAGGAATTCCATTGGAACACACCATAATAGGAACGTATAGCCATAGCTGGTGCACCTACCCTATAGCCGCAGGATAAAATCAATCGACTTTGCCAAAGGTCACGTTTCTACGTACTATAGTCGTCGTCTGCGTCGGTCGGGAGGAGATTCGATGTGCCTCTTGCTTCCAGATCCTTCTTCACCTCTCTGCACCGTGTTTCGTTTCACAGTTGCGCTTACCATACAATCACATCAGGATCACATGCTAGCCATGTTTGTTTTGTACGAATGTGTTGGTGTGTAGGTGAGTAGGAAGAACAATAAAGTCTGAAAGATCGTGGTTTGCAGATTTGCAACGCTGGAAAACCTGTTTGCAGTGATTAATTTTCGAATCACTTCAGTACTGAGCCATCAATGCAGCCATGTGTCCCTACACAGCAGTGCAATCTGACTGAAGAGAATTTTTGAACCAACAATGCAAAGGAACCGGAAGTCGAAAAGATTGAGTGAAAAATATATTGTACCAATCGAATACCAAATTTGCCACAGTATATTCCATACAGAAGCTATGTGCATTCCCTTTTCTGAACAGGAAATGGAAAACAAAGCATAATTGATTACAATTCAAATTGTTTTTACATTGAGCAATCACTGGCCTGCTGCGACTTTTGCAACGCTTTGGCCTTAGCGTACTGCAATTCTCTACTGCGCTCACCGCAAGAGTTGATTCTATCGATTACGCCCTGCAGGGTTTCCCTTATGTGGTGTGGTTTATTGTGTCACGTTTTGGTCTCCTACCCGTCCAACGTCTAACGCATGCACATAGGCACATCGCTTCGCTTCTAATTCGATCGATACATAAAAACTGACCTTTCACCCAGCCATCGCGAGCCAGCTGATTTCATACCAAGAGCGCATCACAACCCACACGCCTACCCATGTCATGAATGAGCGTGAAGAAGGTCAACTAATCCGCTTCTCGTTGACCCAGAACAATGCAGAGCAAATCGATTTCGTATCCGGCGAATAACGCAATAACCGAAATGAAAACATAGGTATTCGAATTTGTATCGGAATGACGAGCAAATTCGTGCAATGGTTTCTTTTCGTTGTTTATGTTTGTTTATCGTTTAGAACGACCTTCGGATTGCGTGCTAAACTGGAATCACTCCACCATAAGAGTGCTTTGCTAGATTCCAAACTCGCGTACGTTCGCTCGGTTATGTGTGAGAAATCTAGGGTGAAGGTGAACCAATCCGACTGGCTTAGTTAAACCAAATCAGTCAATTGAGACGTAGCTACTGCTGGTGCTTATATCTAGTTGCCTTGCACTGGTAAGCTCGAAGCAATAATCTTAATCTGACTCGATTAATTTAATGAGCATCAAGGTTCTGAAAACAAGCAGGCAGCTGTTATCTTATGAAATCCAGAAATGATGAAGTGAGTTTGCTATGTTTATGCTGTTTTCATACTCCTACTTCATACTTGGGAAGGTGGATTAAATTTCATTTTCAATAATGTATAAAAGCATTCGCTTTAATTACTAGGTCACACTTGATTCGTACAAATACCATCGATACACTTCACGTTTTCATTTGTGTGCCATCGATGTTCCATTGACATTAACTAAAGCGTTCGCACAAATAAACAATCTCGATCCGTCAGCAGTGCATACATTTTTATACATAAGTGGCGCATTTGTTTTGCAGTCCATACGTTGGTAGTCACGAAGCCACCAAATGCTCACACGCAAAACAAAAAAAATTCTCACACCAAAACAGACTCACCTGTTCAATAGTTTTCCCACGTACCCACTCGAATGGCGATGATGGCTCCGATGATCGTCGCTTACTGCGATGAGCAGGAATTTTATGCAATCAATCGTCGACCGACTAACCCGCATGGCATCTCCTGCCTACCAGACCTTCTCGTTTGAACAGCCTTTTGCCT